AAAGGTTATTTTTCGCTTTTTATAACATGGAATCAGAAAATTGGGTTGGCAGTCGAATTTTTTTCTGTCAGTTCTATTGGATACTTTCGGGAAATAAGGTCACTGTCGGGTAATACCGGATTAATTTTTTGAAAAAATTGAAATGGCAAAAATAGGATAATTGGCACAATTGGGGCTTAAAAAAAAAAAATCGAAATTTGAAAAAAATGGGTCAGCGGGTAATGAAAACGAAAAATCAACTTTGCGTGGCCTTATAGTAAAATATATATAAAATCTTTTTTAGGAAATTTTGCCATCAGAAAAAAAAACTTGTTTTTTTTTGGACCATGTGAAAATTATACATCATAAAATAAAAATATCAAATTTTCTAATCATATAAAATTAAAAAGAATTTATTTTTAAAATTTTGAACTTTTAACAATTCTAACTTTTCACATTTTTACTATGTTTTTACTAAGTAAAATTTGTAAAATTTAATTGCAAATTTTATGTTATATTAAAACTTTTATTTTTTTTATAAAAATAATTTTTTATTTTACATCCCTTAAAGTATAATAGTAATACTATTAATGTCCGGTCAAAATGTAATTGAAAGTCCGAAGTGACATTTTCCCTTAGCAGCACTCATATGAATTTAATTTACATAAATCACTAATTAGAGCTAAATCAAGCAAAATAAGTAAATCAGAGACGGGTGTATATGGACCTGATTTAGAAATACTTGATTGTAAAGAGGTGTGACTAATATAGAGTTATTTTTTATATAGTTATAAATAATTTGTAAAAATAAATTTGTAATTATATTAATTTTGTGACTATAGAGGAGGTGACTATAGAGGGGTTTGACTGTATAAGTGAAGCATAATGTAGACCTAAAATCTGACATAATTAATAAAAAAATAAAGTAGAAATAAAAAGATTAACCTCTATAAAAGTATTACTTGTCAATTAAATTATTCATTTATTTTATTTCATTTTTCTTTCTCTGTTAATTAGACTATTTATTTATTTTTAGTTAATTTTTCCTTCTCTCTTTCTCTTATTTTTTATATTCGCATTGATTATTTAATACACTTGTTATTGAGAACAATATGGGGTTAAGTCAGTAGAAATCAAGCAATTTTGTCTAATTAAATTTTTTTAAACCTTTAAACAACAATAACTCAACAAAAACTTAATCAAATTTAATAAAAAATTTTTTAAATAAATTCTAAAAACTTAAATTTATTTAAAAATATTTTTATTAAATTTGATCAAGTTTTGGTTAAATTATTAGTGTATAAATTTTAAAAAAATTCAATAAAACAATTTGCTTGATTTCTACTAACTCACACCATATATTAAATTTTGATAACATTATAATTAACAAATTTGTTCTCGTGAGAATATTAATTTCAATTTGAGTTTCCTACACAAGTTGTATATACAAATGTTTCCTAGTACTTTGAACTAAATTAAAATATTATTCTAGTTTATCTTTGGCTAAGATACTTATCTGAACCATTTCATCATGGACGAGGAACAGCCTAATAACGCATGACAAGTAATGGAGAACCAAAGATATCATTCTCTAATGATTTGAAACTGCTACCGACACAGCAGTACGTGACCCAATTTTGCCATATTCTGTGTCGATAAAACTGACCTAAAAAATTTCACTGGCCAATCAGATTTCAAGATCAGGTGTGACGCAGAAGGAACGCGAAAAATCAAAAACAAACCAAAAAACCGCTCATAACTCAACATTTTATCAATGAAGCGCACTAACAAAAAGTTTTCCTTGCGAAATTTTGGTACTATTAAAGCTCTTTCTAACCTAGTTTAATAGCCAAACCTAACCTAATCTAAAAGCGAAATTTTTTTAGCGAAATTTTTTAGGTTGGTAATGCTAGATCAGTTTGTCGAAAATGTCATAGCTGTGCCGATAAAGCTGTGTTCGATCATTCACGCGTCCATGTGAACCGCGTCATAGTATGCAATTAATAATGGTTACTTCCTAATTCTGTAATTTTAGAATTTTGGAGAAGTATAATTAGAGTAAGTAAAAATGACAATAATATAACATTTGAAACCCGGAAAGTCAAGTAAAATGATCGAAATTATGTTCTTTTTCATACGGTAATAAAGAATTAAGTAAATAATTATAAATAACGATAACGATATGACTGTTATATCGAGGAGTTTATTATGAACGGGAAATGATTTTTTAATTCTTGACCGAAATTATATGTTTTAAAAAAATTAATATCCTCCACTTTAACGGTTTATTTTTTTCAATAATATTTAAATGATCTCATTAGTATGTAAATATATCGTAAATTACGTCATTTCAACTTTGACATCACAAAAAATAGGATAATTTATTGAAGTGTGTAAAAAAAAAATAATAAGAATAAACCATTAGTAGAAAGAATTGGTTCAAATTATACTTTAAGCACGATTCGCTTAAAAAATAGGAATGTATTTTCAAGAAATGAAAATTTTTTCATTAATTATAATCGTCGCGTCTCATATAACAATATCAACAACAATTTCATTTTCACAAAACAACACTATTCAAAATGATAATCAACAATATTTCTTAATTTTTCAATCACCACCATCAAAAGATTTACTAAAAAATCTTTCGTCAAAATATTCAAATGTTGGTGAATTAATTACTTTTAGTGAAAATTTACACTTTTTACCGGGTGAATTTGATAATGAATTTATTGAAACGTTTAAAGATTTTAATGAAAGTGAAGAAGAAAATTCTTTGAATAATAATAACAAAAAACATTGGATTGTTGCAGAAAATGGAGTTGTTAGAGCTTTAGATAATGTGGTACCTGAAGATTATATGACTGGAAATTTTGATTTTCAAAAGTTTAATCATGAAATATCTGAAAATGAGAAAAGTAATAGTTTTGTACAAAACTTTGTTCAAAGTTGGGTGAGTTTTAAAAGTTTTAAATAAAATGATCCTAAAATTATTACACTTGGAACAACTTATTTCATTTATAAAAAAAAAATAATGTTAGGGATTAGATAGAATTGATCAACGTTCACCCCTGTTGTCAAAAACTTATTCGTATCCTGAATCTGCAGGTTATGGTGTGGACGTCTATGTTGTTGATACGTAAGTATAATTATTATATGAAAGTTAGTGAAATTGATGAAATTAATTTTACCAACATCTATACCGTATTCCATTCATATTATTACATTTATGTTATTCCATTTACATTATTCCACTCATATTATTCCATTAATATTATTCCATTCATATTATTAGAGGAATTGACATCGACCATCCGGAATTCGAAGGACGCGCAAGTTGGGGCATAACCACTACTAAACGAAATGCGGATAAGGATGAAAATGGGCATGGTACTTTTGTCGCAGGTACGTACGTACGTACGTACGTAATTCATTCCATTCACCATTTTTAAAATAATCTTTCTTTTAATATTTTTGAATTTAAAACATATAGGCATAATTGGGGGTAAAACTTATGGTGTAGCAAAACGAGTCAATCTTATCGCTGTTAAAGTATGTTATATATATTGGAGTCAATTTTATCGCTATTAAAGTATATTACATGTATTGATATTATCATTTCTTTACTCTTCTTGCATTTTTCATGTCACTTATTCGATAATCAATAGTCACTTGATAATGAAGGAATTGGCTCGGTTGAAAGTGTTCTTTATGGACTTCAATATGTAATTCAAAGTCATTTGGCCAAAGGTGGTAAAGGAAAAACAGTCGCAAAGTATGATTATATAATTATCACATATGACTCCTACATAATTATTGCAAAATATTTATTAATGAACAGATATATTGATTGTTTTATTTGCTAGCTTGTCTCTTGGGTCTGAATATAATAGTGCAGTGAATCTTGCAGTCAGTGAATTAGTCAAGCATGGAATAATAATAACAGTAAAGTTTTATACTATATTCATAAAATAGATTCATATTTATATTTTAGCGTGTTTGTGTATTGATTCATATTCGATTTTATTTTATTTTATTTTATTTTATTTTACAGACAGCAGCGGGAAATGGAATCGAAGGAAAAGGAGTCGATGCATGTCATGTATCACCAGCGAGTGCTCGAACAGCAATAACTGTTGGGTCCACTACTCCAACAGATCATATTTCGAGCTTCTCGAATTATGGTGAATGTGTGAATTTATTTGCACCAGGTCAAGGAATTCTTTCTTCTTATCCTTTTCCATCAAACAGTTCTTCAATTAAATCAGGAACATCATTTGCTTGTCCTTATGTTGCCGGTAATGTTTTTTTTACTACTTCTTTTTTCACTTTCATCTTGATCATTATATAAACATTAGCTTTTTAATTACCTTATTTCATTACCTTATTTAATTACCTTCATCAGGCGTGGTTTCATTAATCCTTTCTGAATTGAATCCACAACAAATATCACTCTTGTCAATCAAATCGTCGAACACAAGACCTAAATATATCCTCAATCTCTTGGAAAAACTTGCAACAAAAAACGTAATTAATGGACTAAATGGGACATTAAGTCCAAATATGTTAGTATATAATCAAGTGCAAGAACTTGCATATGACGAAAGTGCAGGAAGCTTATTCATTGCTAAAGACTTTTGGAACTGGATTTTGGTTTTCTGTGTATTGCATTTAACCTTGGAACTTTTTAAGACTGGGTTATCTACAAATTTTTTAGAATGATGATTATTTTTTCATTACTTTCTAAAAAGTTGTTTCTTTTTTTTTTATAAATTAAGTTATATCGATAGATGTTTGATATTACAGTGAGGTAAAATTAATGATAAAAATAATTTAAATTTCAATATGCTTGAAATTTTATTCAAATTGATTTTAAACGGTGAAATGATTAATTATATGCTGGTAAAGCTAAATTAATTTCAAATTCATAAGTTTTCCAAGGATTAAATTATTTCAAATTCATAAGTTTCCAAGGATTAAATTAATTTCAAATTCATAAGTTTCCAAGGATGGAGGCTATAATGCAAAGCAAATAATGGCGAAATGGTATTTCAGACTCCATAAGTGCGTTTTCTTAATTTATTTGAAATTTCACGCTTATGAGGAGTCAAACTATATGATAATGAATGGGTTAAATACGATATATTATTGAGAATGCTGAAAATTTAGTCAAGAGAACTGCACTCATATTTATTCAAAAATTTAGTAAAATTAAAGGTTCTAATTTTGCCCTTTGACGTTCTAAAAAATGCGCCTTTATTTCGGGCATTATTTCTAAAGTGCTATTTTAGCATTATGATATTAGTAATAAATAGAGTATGATATATTTTTTTTAACATAAAAACAACATTATAAAAAAACATTTGCGTTATAATACAGGTTACACCGTTAATATCAACCTCGTTAATATCAACATAAGCCACAAAACAAATTTTTATAAACTTTTATATTTCAAAATTCCCTCATATGTATCAACTTTAATATGATTTTTCGTTAATATCACTATCAACATGATTTAAACCAATTCAAATAGGTTGATATTAACGAGGGTAACCTGTAGCATGCCAAACTTATTTATTTGAAGGAGCCAACGAGCAACGTTCTACCACTTCCCGCATGAAAGGTTTTATTAAAGCTTTTAGAGCATCCTCATACGTAAACTGCAATATTTAGAATTTTGGAATTTTAGAATATAAAAAAATTAAGAGGATTAAATTAGAACAGATATATAAAACATAAACACACCCACTGTCTATTTCGCACATCCATTTCAGGCCATTGATCTTCTAATTTATCCACTTCCATTTCGAAAAAACAAAATGCAGTATTGGATAAGCCAGTTTGTTTATGATCCCATATTCCAATATATGATAATTTTCCTCGTGCACCAGCTATTAAAATTATCAATAATATATTTATTAATGGTAATATTTTAAAAGAAATTATTAAACGACAAACCTTCTTCGTATGTTTCTCTAGCTGCTGCTTCTTGTTGCGATTCATCATTTTCCCAACCACCTTTGGGCTTTAGTTCAATATACTCGAATTGGTAATATAAACTATAGATAAATCATTAAGCATAATGTAAGATGGTTTAATTACCAATACCCATCCATCTCCTTTTCGTTGCGTTATTAATAAGATTTCTCCAGTCATTTTATTAACTGGTACGCATCCTACAACCTAAGATTTAAAAATAGAATGTACTGTAAATCTTTATACTAATTACAATGATGCGAACAAGAAGGATTGGTACCAATCTATTTATTTTAGATCGCTAAAAAAATAAAAGCATCAAAAAAAAAAAAGAATTGGATTGTCAAAACTAACTTGACGTATGAGACCTTTATAAACTTGTTTTTCGCGCCCTGTTCTTGCCTTAATCATATTTGAAAATTTTAATGTTAAAAAACGAGAATTCAATTACTTATATATAATTATTTTCCTGATTTAAATTTCGATATCGATATTGATGGTTTTTTTTTAATCATACAGCTATCGCAATAAATGTTATACAAGTTCATGTGGGTGTCCCAAATTAATTTCAAGCCACATAATAAGTTCTTATCGTGATAGGTCAGAAGGGGAATTCAAGAATATATTAGGAAAATGTCACTTCCCTTATACAATTTTTTGCCACGTAACAAAAACCTTATCAGTAATTTATAGGAACACAATTTTCTATGGTCAGAAGTCAGCTTATACCATATGATGTTATATTGCGTTTGGCAAAATTACTCGTCCTACAATAGAATTCTTTTTAAAGTATTTTTTAAGAATACCGCTAAATAAAGTTATGGAAATTTCATTTTTAGGATATTGATCGTCAATTTCATTTCATTCATTTCATTTACTCGAATAAATATTTGATTTTGATATTATGTAATATTTCAGTAGTTTATGTAGAAAAAGTAATCGTATTCCATCATTGAACTAAATTCTTCAAGAATAGTAACCTTTATCCGAAATTGATATTTTTCATGTTTTCATTTGGAATGTATACGGCATTAATATCTATTTGATTATGTGTTGAATGCTGGTTATTCGAGCTTTAAATCTAGTCCTTAAAACCATCGGGCAATTTGGAGTTCTATTTATTAAATACTGTATACGAGTTTGGTCGGGCCGAGAACATTTTATACATATGTACCGTATTTCGCAGCAGCATAGAGTACACAGTTATGTCAGGTTACTAATACCGTATATCACCATTATTTATGCGACTCAGATTTATTACTGTCTTATAATGTATTCGACATTAATGTAAATTACTATTAAATATGTATACAGGCTAAATTTTATATTGTTCTTTATCAAAAAGTTTTGTCCGCAATAAATAATATATGTTCTCATTTATAATATATATTAGATTTTACGTTTTTCAAAAATTCATAGGTTAATAAATAACATTTTGAACTATTATACTGTTCTTATGTGAACAGTATTTAAAGTTCGAATATTAGTTTTGAACAATTACAATTGCAGCAAATAGCAAATTTTATCTTTTGAATGTGATATATTTGTAAGAGTCTAAGATAATTTGCTTAATAATCCCTCTACAAAATTCCCGCATTCTATCGGTTTATACAATTCGTTATTCGTTATTATTATACGTATACTGTAGTGTGCCTGGGATATAGATCAACCAAACACGTGTAACTAGATTATAAAGGCCCTGTATACTTTCCACTGCCAAATTCAATATAGTATTATGTTATACTGCATAATTTATGTTACATATGTACGGATATATTCTAATGAATTCTTTTGTCGTAACAAAAAAAATTGAATAAGTATTATATTACTTTAATGGAAGAATTGAAATTTCCAACAGCATGGGATGTTGATAATGAATCAACACTTTTTAATGCAGGCTCAAATGGGCTTAGGGTGAAATATATAGGTAATGTTTAATTATTCTAAATAAGAATTTTGATAATTTTAACTATTTTGATCGATGAGACAATGCACAAAGCATGTTAGGCCAGAAAATAGCATTATCTTTCGAAGTCATCATTCAGGGTCACATTAATTTACTATAGTTTTGTTTTTCAAATAAAAGGACCTGATGATTATGAAATTGCAGCTACAGTTCGATCGAATAATCCGATTCCTCAACAATGCGGGCTGTTTTACTTTGAAGTTACAATTATAGATAAAGGAACAAATGGGTAACAATTTATCGTTTGGACTATTACTCTTGAAATTTATTACTTATAATTTGATATTATATTTAAAAGGATAATTGGTGTCGGATTTTGTATAAATTCAGTTGACCTAAATGCTAAATTATAAGATTCAGATATCATACCCATGCCCGGTAACAACAACATTTCAATTATTCTTTTTACAAAAAAATTCATGAGTTTAATTGGCATCTCAGTTATAATACTTATAATACTTATAATACTTAGGGCAAAAACATAATACATGGGCTTATCATTGTGATGATGGATATTCATATCGTTCTGGAAATTGCGAACCATATGGGCCACCATTTACTGCTGGCGATATTATTGGATGCTACATAAATTTTAGAAATAAGATGATCTTTTATACTAAGAATGGGATAAACATAGGTAATTATAACTTTAAGAATAATATTGTAGAAGTTTTAAAGTAATTAGATGTTTATTTTTATAATATTTTAAGGAATTGCATGCTATCTACCTGATGATTTAAATGACGATGTTGTTCCATGTGTTGGAATATCGCAAAGCGGATCTGTAGAAGCAAATTTTGGTCATAAAAAGTTTAATTATTCAAGTAAATTCATTCAGACTAGATAAATGATATTTTTACGCTTAAATTTATTAGAATCACACAATAATATTACTTTTATAAATAGCAATGAACGATGAAGATAATATTAAAGGATTATGAAAAAAAAATAGGTTTAAAGCTCTTGATCTATACGATGAACCAACACAATTATTATTAAACAATATACATGAATTAATCTACCGAGGAAAAGCTTATTTTATTATAGGAAAATATAATGAAGCATTTGTTAATCTAAATAAATTACTAGAAATTAAACCAAATAATGCAATTGCATTAAGATATCGTGGAGAAGTCTATTACATGATGAAAAAATATGAAAAATCTCTTGAAGATTTGGAGACATTATTAGAAATTAATTCAAATGATGTATGGGCAGAAAATGCCCGTAAACAAGTTGAAGAAGTGTGAGTATAATGCATAACGTTTTAAAAGGAACAAATTTAGAATTTGCTAATAAACATTACATTTTATGTACTACGTATATGTACGTGTCTTATTATTAGTATGTGAGTATTTAGAGTTATGTTCATTTATGAAACAAGGAATTTCATTTATTTACATAAAAAGATGAACAACAACTCCAAATTATGATGATTTATGTAGAATTAGAGAGTGATTAGGACCATAACTATTAGAATCTCTTAATTTAAAAAATAATAAATGTCATACATAACTCTAAATTATAACTTACATATCACTAGTTTGTAACTATTAGAATTATATAATCATTTTTAAAATCAGAAATTTCTAAACGATAATTTCCATACAGATAAGGAGCAAGTATTCCATACAGGTAGGGAGCAAGTATTTAGAATCATAAATATTTTAAAATCAGAATTGTCATTAATTCAAAAGAGAAATAATTTTAATTTATAATTTATAATCCACACATTAGAGAGTGAGTATTTAAATATATAAAATTATTATAAATCACACCGGTGATGATGAGCACCATATAATTTTTTATTATAATTTCTTGTCAATACTTTAAAGTTAAAATTTAGGATAAAATGAGATGCTATAGACTAAAAATTGAAGCCAAAAATAAAGTGAAATAAGGTTTTTTGGGATGCTAAGCATTTTTGCATAATGCATTCGGCCTTGGTTATTAGACAATTTTTGAGATATAGCAACTGTGTGGTGTTAAACACCACTGGTGTGATTTATCAATGCTGTTTAAATTATTTTTAAATCAAAAATCTTTATTTAAAATATATCATCAGTTTGTGAGTAATTAGATTATCAAGTTAGAATTCTCACTATTGCAATGTAAAAAACAAATAATATAACTATAAATTACAATTAAAATATAATCAGTGAGTGAGTATTTAGAGCTATAACTATTTCTAAAATCTGAATTCTCAATTAATCAAAAATAATAACCACAATTCAATACAATTCATCATATATTAGATAGTGAGTATTTAGAATCTTAAAATTAGAAATTCATAGATTCAAAAACAATAACCTTAATTACAATTATGCTAGTCTGTAAGTTTTTAAAATCATAGCCATTTTTAAAGAGAAATTTTATTAATTTAAATTACAATTACATATAATTAGACTGTAAGTATTAAAATATTAAATATTTATAAAATCATAAAGTCTGCTAATTTAAATTAAATAACATTAAATTTCAATTTACATCTTAGCAACACGTATGTATTTAGAGTCATAACCATTTTAAAACCAGCAGCCACATTTATTTAAAAGCAACTTGAATTTAAAATCATATACATATGTTAGTCGGTAAGTTTTTAGAATTACTACTATTTTTTATAATCAGAAATTTAAAATAAATTACCTTAAATTAAAATTCAAATGCTATTAGTGCGTAAGTATATCATTTTTAAAACTAGAAATCTTATTAATTTAAAAAGAGCATTTACTCAATCATACCCATTTTGCTAACACCAGTATCGTTTAAAATCTGGATAGCGTAAAATTTAAAGCAATAACAATAAAAAAAGTTTGATTAAAACTAGACTAGTTGCTAGTTATAGTTTACATCCAAATTTTGCAAAAATTTTTTATCAGAGCCAAGAAATAGTTTCATTGATTGGGTAATTTGGTCGTGGTGTTAGCACTGGGGATGATTTAGCAAATCATTTAAAAAAAAGTTTAATTATAAATTATAATTCACATTATTAGAGAGTAAGTATATTTTGAATCAATATTAAAATAAAAATAAACAACTTTAAATTAAAATTGGAGACTATGTTATTTTAAAACAAATAACTAAATCACAATTTATTATATTAGCGAGTGAGTATTAGAATCATAACCATTCTTAATCTCAAAAAAGGTAAGTGTCATTTATTAAATTAATATATTTATATAAGGGTATTATCCTTCTTAACATATTAATTTTATGTTTTTTAGTATAACCCTACATATCATGTGATATCTGACACTTTCCAAATCTTATTAATCAAAAAATCTCTAAATTACAATTTATATAATAGTATGTAAGTTCAATCGCAAATATTTTTAAAATCGGAAAATTCATTAATTCAAAATACAAATAACACGGGCCTAAATTACAATCCACAATTAGCAAGTAAGTTATGGGCATTTTAAAGTAAAATCAAAGTAAATTAAAA